AGGTTTTCCAGAGGTTTTCCTTTTAAGAAAAAAAAGTAACATAAATGAAAGCATAAATAAATGTCTCTTAGACCTCCCTTCTTTCTCTCTGCCCGTTGCCCTAATTTCTTTCTTAAGGGATAATAAAAGTGTATAAATTTTGGTAGGATAAAATTAAAAGACATGGTAAAAAGAACAAAGAAAATGCTCTGAAATCAGACACTCAAGTTCACATCCGTGGTTCTGTAATTACGACGTGGGTCCTGAAACAAATTACTTTTTAACCTTCAGTTTTTCACTGGTAAGGCTGGAGTTAATAACTTAAATTTGTTATGAATATTAATTTAATGCTTATAGAGTGATGACATAGAGCATGGCACATACTGTATACTCAGAAAAGGCATATAAGTCCTTAGAAAATTTGGCTAAAATGAACTTCAGAAGTGGTGGTAAAGAGAACTTTGTGAAGACTGGATGGGTATCAGTAGAGCCCCTTGGAGTTGATATTTATAGGGAGCAAAGGGAAGTGTATGATGCTGGTCAATTATATTTTATTGAATTGGTTCTCTTGTCACCATCCCATCCCCTTCTCCGTATTTCATTGTGTCAAAGTAGTTTGAACTGCTTTGTGCCCTAAAACCCACAGTACATTTTCAGCAAATTTCTGGACAATGCTCCTGCATGGATAAACAATAAGTCACCAGTTCTTACTGTGAGCTGCTCCAACACTTATCGAAGTGTGGCATGCCATGACCTGGCTCTGTTTAGCCCCGGAGGTACCTGGGTCTAACCTGCCAAGAGCTGAGTAGACTGCCAAGAGCCAGGCAGCAGAGTTGAGGCTGGAGAGAGCAAAGATAAAATGAAGTAAGAGTGGGGATGGAATCTAGGCCGGGGTAAGACTGGTCACTGGCAAGGGTCCATCACCAATAGGCCAGGTAGTAAGTGAGAGAATAGGTAGGTATCAGGGGCCCCAGGCAGATGCTGAGATTAGGAGATCCTGGGAAGAAAGAAGCGCTAGAGGTTCGGTGTGAGTCAGTGGCTGAAGAGACTGAAGTCCAGGCCAGGATCCATGAAAGCTCCTGCCATCCGTCTAGAAAGTCTGGCTAAGTGACATGGCCCTTTAGTCCATATCAACTTTTTTTTAAATCTGCTAGAGCTCCTTCTTCTCCTCTCCCAGTGTACAGATCTGGAATCTGGTGGTCCTCTGTGCCTCAAAGTGGTGCCTCTCAGTCTTGAATGTGCACAGGAATCACCTATGCTACGAGGCAGATTCTAATTCAGCAGATCTGGGTCTGGCTCAACGGTCTGCATTTCTAACACCCTTCCAGGGAATACAGACACTGCAGGCCCAGGGACCACATTTTAAGTGGCAAAGCTTTAAAAGACTGTTGTTGTTTGGTCTTGCTAAATCCTCGGGTCTTCTGTTTTGTTTCATGTCAAGGCTACTTCCTCAGGGCAAAGCTGAGAAGAACATTGCCAGCTGGTCCAGAACTGAGCCCCTGTAGCTGGACTTTTGATAAAACTGGAGTCCTGACAGCTCTCATCTTTTTTCTTCTGTGACAAAGCAGATCCTCACTGAATTTAATATTGGTAACAAAACCATACTGAAGGTCTGGACAATTCAATTGTCTCTGATGCAATTGGTTTTCCTGGGCAGAAATGTTGCCCCGAATGCTAATCCATTGCTCTGACAGGAGCTATTCTCTGCCTGGTCAGGGGCCCCGTGAGAAGCCAGGAGGGCCTTGACCTTAAAAAATTCCTGATAGTTGTTGGTTTTTTTCAGGTAAAATATCAAATTTGTCAATTTATGTCCATTTCTCTCAAAGGGAACCTTTTCCTGAAACCTTTGTTTTTATTCTGCTATTGTTTTTGAATGATATAAAATAAGGGTAGATCCCTGTTCCTAAGACTAGGGGCCTAGTTGCAAACCTTTGAATATAATTATTCTATAGCGGCAATAGCCTCCCAAGTACCCTGACATTCCCCAGGAGGGAAAATGAGCAGTGAAGACAGAGGTGAATCCCCATGTGGGTCATAGCCCTGGTTTTAAGGCTCCTGTTTTCCCCCATCCCTGATCACATCTCCCAGGCATCATAACTCTTCATGCATTTCTCTGTGATTGCACCCCTACATAATATAAAATTAGAGTATTATGTTACATGTTTCAAAGCTTTCTATAAGTACCATCATCCCCTCCCCGCCATCCTTCAGCTCCTCCTCACTCTTTCACCTCTTTCTCTCTATACTTGGTTTGTGGAGTTAATCCATGTTGATATGTGAGATGACAACCCATTTTATATAGAATGAATAGACAGCAATATATTTATCTACTTTCTTATTGCTGAGCATTTAGCCTGTTTTCAATATTTTATTATTAGAAGTTGAGTTGCTGTGAACCTCCTTCTGTGTCTTGGTATGTGTTTGCAAGAATTTCTCTAGAATATAGCTTAGAAGTGGAATTGCTGTTCAACTTTACTCGATATTACAAAATTATTTTCCATTGTGGTTGGAATACCACAGCGCATAAAAGTTTATATTGCTCTAAATCCTTATCGATATTTGAGGTTTTGAGACTTCAAAATTTTTACTTATTGATGGTTAAACACTTACATCTCATTTGGTTTTAATTTGTATTTCCATGATAACTAGTGAAGTTGAGGCTCTCTTCAATTGTTTCTTGGCAATCTGTGTTTGATATTTTTGAAGTACCTATTTATATATTTTGATAGGCTTTTTTTTCCCATTGGGTTGTTTTGCTAACATTTTAAATATATTCTGGAGTCTAAATCTTTATCAGTTATGCTTTACACACATTATTTCCTTTTTCTGCTTATTTTAGGTTTAATTTGCTCTTTTTCTAGTTATATGATGAAAGCTTAGATCATTGATTTGAGATCTTTTCTAATATAAGCATTAATATAAACTTTCCTCCAGGTATCTTTTAATTTGTAGGGCAGGGATTTCATTCTGATTCAAATATGTGCATATATGTATATATTTTATGAATAACCTCTGAATATGTAAAATTATTTAGAACTGTATTGTTTAATTTTCAAATATTTGGGGATTTTCCAGATATTTTTTGATTTCTAGTTTAATTTTATTATGGTCAGAAAATATACTTGTTTTTATTTTAATTCTTTTAAATTTGTTAAGGTTTATTTTAGAGTTAAGATATAATCTTAATGAATTGTTCATATATATTTCAAAAAAAATCAGTATTTTGTTGTGGGATGAATTGTGTTAAAATGTCAATTAGGTCAAGTTGTTGGCAGTATTGTTTAGTCTTCTATATCCTCACTGTTTTTCTGCCTACTTTTTTTCTCCATTACTGAGAGAAAATGTATAACATTGTGGATTTGATTTCTCCTTTCAGATTTGTATGTGTGGCTCCATTCTCTCTAAAATTGAAGTTATTTTTCAGATAGTGAATAGCTTTGAATGGATTATGTTATGCTTAAAATTGGACCATGTTAACAAGTCCTTTTAGGCATCTCACTTTAATCCTCTCCACTCACCTCCAAATTACACACACCCACACATAGAGTTTATATTATTTTATTAATTATTCACCATTAGTGTACAGAATTGGGATTTTGTTAGGATTCATTCATATTACCTTATTTAGGTCTCCTTTTCAATTTTTAAAGTGACTGATCAGAACTGAGGGTTGAGTCTTTGGTCAAGAAATAGTATAGTAAAGTTAACCAACTCCTGTAAGTCCTATACATAGCAGTCTTCCACAGATATCACCCCCACTAATGCTCATGCATTTGTCATAGGTACTGGAGAGAATGTGGTTCAGTGACTACATGCCCTTATCAGAAAGACTATTAAGTTTAAATAGTCAAAAATAAATTAGAAAGCATTGTATTAATTCAAAATACAATCTTCAAATTGACAGAATATGGTGCAATGGCCCTTTACCCCAGCAAGTATTCCTCGTTATATCTTTAGCAGCGAATGTGTATTTATCTGCAACTTTATTGTATTATTTTCTAAATATTCAAGATGCTTTCTGGATTTAATTTTTGCCAGATGATCTTAAAAACTAGAGCTGAATTATAAATTAAGTTGCTTTGTTAAGAACAACAAAGAGTAAGGATGTGGATTTGTGTAGTTGGAGACTAAATTAGTATTCCAAACCCAAACTCTATTGCAGCAATCTCATTAAACAGCATTGGGTAGACATTTAAAGATTTTATACATTTTAATCCAACTGGTCACTTGGTTTAAAACTACATTGATTTTTTTCTATTTAATTTTTGGTCATGTATATCATGCTAGATATCAAAATGAATTTGAAACTTGGAGGCTGTCTGTATTAACAGGGTATTAAGTTCTTGGAAAGGTTCCTTTCTCCATGCTAATTTTTATCACTTTGCTATTGCTTTCATTTCCCCTTGAGCTTTAGCTTTTAAGGATTATTATTCATTCTTTTCAACATCTACCTCGATCATTAAACAATTACACCTTTATCAGGCAGAGCAGCAAGAGACTCTGTGGATAATGATGAGGTTGGAAACTCCCCTGCACAACCTGCTGGCTCATCTTGGAAGAAGAATGTCATGCCAAATTATCTTTATGTGTTCATGAATAATGTCCTAACAAGGATGGTTGGAGAGATGAGTATAAAGGGCAGTTCTAATGGAAAGAATGAAAGTAATATTCACTTTGGCGAAACATTATAACGCCTCGACAAGATGCTGTCTGTCCTTGCTGCTAAATTAGGTGCATTTAAGTTAGCATCCCCTGTAGCTATCTGCTATTTTGCAGAATGAACTAAAAGAGAAAGAATATACCTTTCAGGATTTAGAACTCCCTCATATGACCATAACATAATTGCAGGGAAAATACTCATTTAACCCAGAGTCCTTTATATTAACCGGGTGTATTGGTCTTGAATGTAAAAGTGGTATAGGCAGGCAGGTAGTTATAGTCTCTACCCACCTTTAATTCTTAGCTTTCGACTGCACTCTAGAGTAACTGATATTTTTGCTGTTGATGTTTCCTCAATGCAGAATTTCAGAGTGGGATATCAGGTCTTTAGTGTGAAGATACGTCGATACTAAACCAGGAATCATTGGCAGTGACATTTGGACACAAAATATTAGAAAACTGAAAAGTAAGCAACTGTGAAGGTTGATCATGGAAATCAAAGAGGAAGGCACATCAGAAGAAGGCCAGCACTTCCTTCCCACACCCCAGGCAAATGAGAGTGGGGACTTCCACTTGACAAGTAAGTATGTGTGTGACCCTTCTTGGAACTCTGACAAACACACAGAAACTGGGCTTCTAACAAATGGCATAAGTTTAACAACATGTTTTCCCTTTGCACTGCTTCTTTTGTTGTGAGTCTATGAAATGCTTCTTATCTCTTATCATCTTTTATGAGATAGATGATAGTCCATGAAACTGTTAAATATCAAATGGTAGAATCAAAGTTGCTGAATGTGTATTAAGACACTAATACTTCTTACGTACCCCTTCTATTTAGCATTTGTATAATCTCATGTGGATTTATTTTTTGGAACATAGACATTTTTCCCTTTAACACCAAGGACTAAGTGGAAAGCTTTAGGGTGAAATGGCTGCACTGCTGTCACTACCCTACCTGAGAGCACCAGGTCCCATAGAGAGCAAGCCTGGAGACTTGGGCAAGATTTACATATGAGCATTACAATCGGGATTTGTGCTACTCGCATAATTAAAATCGTTGGAAGAATTATATGTTTTTCTCCCATGTTCAAAATTCTAGGGTTCAGGTTTTATTGTTTAGCATGAATTGTGTCCTTTCTTTACTTTTCAGAAGGTTCTTGTTGCCCAGTTATTAACATTGGCAAACATATGCCTAACCTCTCATTTAATTTACATTATAAAAATAAACCTTAGAAAATGGTATTAGTTGGATGCATTTTTTGAGAAATTTGGTTGTCAGAGCTTATAGCAGAGTTAATTGTTAATAACCTTTTTAAAAATCTACACTATTCAAAATGCACAAAGGCCTACCTAATGATTGTCACTTTAACCTCTCTTGGAAAGTCTAAAATTGTTAACCATAGCATTGTTAAATGTCAGCAGGAAGAAAAATAAAATGGTTACTATGCAAAACCTGTGAACTCTATAAATAAAAAATGGATGATTTTTATACAGAGAGGTGGTTCTAACAATATATTAGTGACCAGATGCTATTAAATTTAAATAGTATCTGATGAGTCCACTAGTAAAAATAAAGAAGGAAAGGATTTGCATAATATTCTTACATTACTGCCAAATGGTTTACTTGTCCATAATTTAGTTTTGCCTCTTTGGCCACCATGAGAGCTAACAAATGGCATCCCAGGCCTCATCCACTCTTGTACTGTGTGCGGTCTTTAGGCATTCACCTGCCATTCTCACTTATCACAGCCTAGTCTTTCTACCTTTAGTCATTAGATGTTCCCATTTCCTTACCTTTGTCCTCAGACTTACTTTCCCTTCTACTGCATCTTAAATCATTGAGCCATGTTATTAGATTTTTTATAAAAAAACCTCCAACAAGAGAAATAGAGGCATTTAATGGAATGTTGATTTGAGCTATCAAAAAGCTAGCAGTATAACCACTAGCATAATATCCTTCATAACCTATCTAGAGATAGCCTTTTAATTAGTAATTCACTGTGTATAGCAGGTTGGAGTGGTTTGAGAAAACTATATGGAAGAGTGCTTTGGAGAGGTTGTCCTTTTTTGAAAGTTCCATCTCTATCTCCATGCATTTAAAAGAAACAGACACAGTGGGAAATGTTTTATATTTGTCACAGCTTATAATATTTGAGATTCTTAATGGCTGTGGAGCTAAGTAGCTCAGTCAAATTTTTAGTTATATCTAGTTCTGTCACAAATATTATGTCTTCCCCTGAGAACCCACTGCTTATAAACCTGATCAATTGACTTTCTTTATTCTGCCAAATAATATACTAATATATTCTGGGCATGGTGAAACATAGTAACATTCAATGACATATTTTTGATAATGACTTAAATATCTTTAATCTGAATTCTTACCTATTGTTTATAGGTATTCAGAAGATGCCAAATGAACCGCAGTTGGAATTTATCCTTGGTAAGAAACTCCATCTTATTTTTGTCGATAAATATAATAATTTGTATATAAAGTTTGCAAGTTGTAGGTACATTACTTATATCCTTATATATTTTATAATCTTTTATGAACAACGTTCTATAAGGTAAATGCTATTTTCTCTCTTCTTACATAAAGAATCTGAGCTGAGGACTAGGTCACTTCACTCCCCCAAGAACATAGGGTTCAGTGATGACAAAGTTGGGCCTTTCAACCAAGTCTGCCAACCACAGATATGGTGCCCAGAACTCACTCTCATGCAGTGACTGGGTTTTGTTGCTAATCAGCATGTCTGGAAATCTGTGTGTCTACTTCTTTACTCCGTTGGCTGGAAACCGACCTAAGGTGGAGTTTTTCTTTGTTTTCCTTTGTGCCCCTTTCAGTCTCACGTCCCCAAAAATGCCTCCTTATTCTTCCGATCTTAAAAACGGATGATGCTTTTATTTTGAGGCATAATTTATTGAGAAAATAACTATTTATAATTTTTATTTTAATAGTTTGTTTGTCCTTTCTAATAGGCTTCATTTTCAGAGCAGTTTTGGGTTCACTGCAAAATTTAGTAAAAGGTTGTAGAGATTTCTCATGTACTCCCTACCTCCACAAATGCATAGCCTCCCTCATTTTCAATATCCCTTGCAGAGTGGGACGTTTGTATGGTTGATGCACCTACTATGACACATCATCATCACCCAAAGTCCATAGGTTACATTAGGAGTCTCTTTTGGTATTGCACATTCTATGGGTTTCCATTATTATAGTATCATAGAGAGCAGTGGTCAGCAAACTCATTAGTCAACAGAGCCAAATATCAACAGTACAACGATTGAAATTTCTTTTGAGAGTCAAATTTTTTAAACTTAAACTATATAGGTAGGTACATTATTATTAACTTAATTAGGGTACTCCTAAGGCTTAGGAAGAGCCACACTCAAGGGGCCAAAGAGCCGCATGTGGCTTGTGAGCCACAGTTAGCCAACCACAGATATAGAGGATTTTCACTGCCCTAAAAATCCTCTGTGCTCCACCTATTCATCCGTCCCTCCCCTAAACCCTGGCAACCACTAATCTTTTTACTGACTTCATAGTTTTGCCTTTTTCAGAAGGTCAGATAGTTAGAATCATAAAGTATATCATCCTTGCAGATTGCCTTCTTTCACTGAAATTGCTGTTAAGTTTTCTCTATATATTCTCACTAGAGGCCCAGTGCACGATATTCGTGCTCGGGTACGGTCTCTAGGCTTGGCCTGCGATTAGGGCCATCTTCCTCAGCTGCCTGCAGCCAGCCCCACCCCCCACCCCCTGTTTCCTGTTCGCCATCAGGTGATCAGTGCCAGATGGCCAGGGGAAGGGACTGAGAGGTCAGCTGTTCCCGCCCACTCGCCGGCCCCACCCCTGCCGTGGGTGGCCATCAGGCGATTGGAGCCTGCCAGCTGGGGAAAGAGACCATGAGGTGGTCAGTGCGCCTCATAGTGACTGGTCCAGTAGTCGTTCTGGTCATTCTGCCGTTAGGGCCAATTTGCATATTATCCTTTTAATGTATAGGATGGCTTGGTAGCTTATTTCTTTTAGAACTGAATAATAGTCCATTTTCTGGATGTACCATGGTTTATTTATCCATTTACCTACCGAAGGACATCTTGGTTTCTTCCCAGTTTTGGCAACTATGAATAAAAGTTCTATAAATATCTTGTACAAGTTTCTGTGTAGACATAACTTTTCAACACCTTTGTGCAAATACCAAGGAGCTCAATTAGTGGATCAAATGGTAAGAATATATTTAAGTTTTGTAAGAAATTGTCAAGCTGTCTTCCAAAGTGGCTGTACCATTTTGCATTCCCAGTGATGTGTAAGAGTTCCTGTTGCTCCACAGCCTCACCTGAATTTATTGTTATCAGTATTTCTGATTTTGGTATAATTTATTTTTTTAACATTTCATTTTTATTACATATATAGCTAAAAGGTTCTGTAAGTTAAGGATTCTAGATTTTTTCTTTCTCAAGTATTGAGAAACAGAAATGTGAAAACTCAAGAAACATCTGTGGTAATACCAATGAAGTTATACGTGTTGTTGTTTTGTTTTGTTTTTCCTGGAGTTCCCAGATGTAGAACCAATTCATTTTCAGAAAGGGAGCTGAGAAGCAAAATAGGCCTAGGCACCTCTTGACTCACTGACAATAGCTCTTACTACTTGAGCCTTCATCTAGCCATACTTTATTTTGAATGAAAAAATAATTATTTTACGTTTTTGACAGGACTTCTGAAAAGTAAAAATTTGTTTGAATTATTCAGTGTATTTCAAACCACAGATATAAGCCTTCTTATTTGCATCTTGGAGAACAGGGGTAATCTGAAGCAGGCAGAAGCAGTTGGGGTAGAGGAGGTTCAGTAAACCTAGTGGTCAACTTTCAAGAGACAGCATGTCTGGGCCAAAACCTGTTTTCTGTTTGAATTTAAGTGATCTGTCTTGTTCAGAGACCTAACTATGCTGTTATTTTGAAAGTCCAGTCAAGTTCAGTAGCAATGCTGTTGTCACTTAAATTTCTGGCTTTGGATCATAGATCTAAAAGAAGAGTAGCTGCAGGAAATGATTCATAATGATAGACCTCCCATTTAAAAAAAATCAAGTATCTTTTTTAATGTTTATTTAAAAAGTACACTAGATTTCTTAACAATACATGATTTTATCTTATCACAGGGCAAGAAGTGCCCGATGATTAAACAAAAGAAAGATATTTAGAGTATTCAGGGAAATGAGTTGTTGATCTTGAAAGATAAATTCCCCAAATTCTTTGTTATGTCTCTTAGCATGGTAGTTAAGATCCTCAACCTTTTTATTTCTATAAAAAAGATACTTAAACTACTCTTTCAAGGATACTATATTTTTTAGTGTATATTTTTATCACTTTTTTCTTTGTTTTCTTAATCCCACAAATTCTTCAACACTTCACTTGTTACATAGTTAACTTCATAAGGAATAATGAGAGTAATAATTTCTTAAATATTTTTATCATTGTTGAAGAATGTGCATATTTATTTAATTAGAAAGCATAGTGTCTGAAAACAAAAATAAAAAATTTTAACAAAAAATAGGATAAACAAGGTAGGGAGCTTTTTCCACTTAATTTTCCAACTAAATTTTTGATATTTGATTCTTGAGTATTCAAATAAATTGAGAATTCCAATGGCTTTGCATTTTTGCAAGAAAACAGCTACACTGATTTTGTTAGGTGTCTATTGCTTTGAATAAGTTATTTTCTGTGGAGGATTTGTTTCTTCCTTGTCTGTATGCCCCTATAAAATCACTATATCTTGCTGAAGTTCTCCTGCTACATCTTTATTCAGCTAAATGAGGTAGGAGATGCTTAGTCAATTGAGCAAGCTAATTGACTAAAAATATCTTGCTATCACAAAATAAGCATGTGCTGAAAAAATGAGTATCTCATGTCCATTGTTAACTGTATATCTCATGGTTGGCTGCCTTTAAATTAAATAATTCACTCTTACAACTGCAAATCTGCTTCCACATTTCTTTCATTGTTTCATTTGAGTGTATTGAAAGCATTTTTATTTTCACAAAGGGAGAAATAATTAAAAACCCTGGAGAATGCTTATTTTGTTTATGGTTTAATAAAATTGTTTTCATTTCAACAAAGCTGGCATTTAAGAAGAGTGATCATTTCTTAAAATCTGGGTACATTTATTCTCTTGAATCCATTGTTGAAAATGTATAGAGGAGACTAATATTGACAATGAGATAAAATAAATTTCTATGAACTATTTTATAAGTTCATCCCAGAGTCAATAGAAAGCTTATAAAAATGTGTTCCATATTTTATATGGACATCATATATGCCATAAATTCAAAACAATAAGTCTAATGTGTTGAATGGTTAAAATTCAGTTTTATCACAGCATGCCAATGACAAGATGTCCTTAGGAAGGTTACTTCAGATAGTAGAGTGGCTTTAGTAAGGAAAGGTTATCCTCTGTGGTTGTTAAGGCTTTGTCCAGGAAAACACTGATTCCAAATGCTCTATTCTCCTCTTGGATCGCATATTAGATTATGTGTACTAATTTTGGATTTTGGAAATAGAACCTTTTTTATTTCTAAAAGCCCAGTTAGAAACAAAATCATGTCAATCATGTGATCAGTTTTCTGTCTTCAGAATTTGAAAATGTGTATAAAAATATGCCCGAATTGATAAGTACCACCGAACAGTCTCATCTCTTTATAGACACAGCTTTTATAGCTCGCTAGTGCCTTCATTAACCTACATGTCAGGTCCATTTATACTTTATGAATTGCTGTAAATCAGTCATAGTTTTATATGTTTCTCTGAAAGAGAAAATCTTAAGAGGCCAAACTTACCGATTTTCCCGTGTCCATACTTCTACTTCTGCTGGTCTGTGCTCTATAAATGATTATAAAGCTCTGACTTGTTTAAAACTCCAGGGGGAGAGCGGAAGATTTTAGTTTATCTTCTTTAGTATTTTTGTCTTTTACATGGTATGCAGGGCCAGCTAAAGGGAATACCAAGCACAGAAATATATTTTTATATTTAATTTATTGATAAAAAATATTGCTTCATACAAGCTGCTAGATAATCTTCAAGAGACAAGAGAAACAACTGCCAAGAATTAGACAAGGCCTAGGCTGGCCCTATTTTATTGTCTATTATAAATTTATTGTCATGTTCTTGATTCTTAGAGTATAATACTTTCCTTAGAAAAAATTGCATTCCACTGAACAATAGTTTTGTGCCAAGTATATGCTTACCTCCTTACAAACAGGAAGTGATTTTTTTTCTCTCACCACAATTCTGCAGGATAATAACATTAAAAATAAGAAACATTTATTGAGAGCTTATTTGCTCACCATACATTGTTCTAAATAATTTGCATAAGTTAACTACTTTAATTTTCATTATGAAATAATTCCTCTATTATCATCCTTGTTTTACAGGAAATGAAACTTAGACATA